CCTTTCTGTTTGTTAGTTTTCCTTCTAACAGACAGGCCCCTCAGCTGCAGGTCTGTTGGAGTTTGCTGGAGGTCCACTCCAGATGCTGTTCGCCTGGGTATCACAAGTGGAGGCTGCAGAACAACAAATATTGCTGCCTGATCCTTCCTCTGGAAGCTTTGTCCCAGAGGGGCACCCGCCTGTTTGAGGTGTCTGTTGGCCCTTACTGGAAGGTGTCTCCCAGTCAGGCTACACGGGGGTCAGGGACTCACTTGAGGAGGCAGTCTGTCCGTTATCGGAGCTTGAACGCTGTGCTGGAAGAACCACTGCTTTCTTCAGAGCTGGCGGGCAGGGACTTTTAAGTCTGCAGAAGCTGTCTGCTGCCTTTTGTTCAGATATGCCCTGCCCCCAGAGGTGGAATCTAGAGAGGCAGTAGGCCTTGCTGAGCTGTGGTGGGCTCCGCCCAGTTCAAGCTTCCCTGCTGCTTTGTGTACACTGTGAACATAGAACCGCCTTCTCAAGCCTCAGCAATGGCGATGCCCCTCCCCCTGCCAAGGTCCCATGTTCCAGGTCGATTTCAGACTGCTGCACTAGCAGCGAGCAAGGCGCTGTGGGCGTGGCACCCGCCAAGCCAGGCACAGGGGGGTTTCTCCTGGTCTGCTGGTTGCAAAGACCATGGGAAAAGTGCAGTATTTGGGCACCAGTGTACTGCTCCTCCAGGTACACTCACTCACGGCTTCCCTTGGCTGGGAAAGGGAAATCCCCCGACCTCTTGTGTTTCCCGGTGAGGCGATGCACCACCCTGCTTTGGCTCTCCCTCCGTGGGCTGCACCCACTCTCCAACCAGTCCCAATGAGATGAACCAGTTACCTCAGTTGGAAATGCAGAAATCACCTGTCTGCTGCATCAATCTCGCTGGGAGCTGTAGACTGGGGCTGTTACTGTTCAGCCATCTTGGAAGCGCTCACTTTATCTTTTAAAAGAGTATTTTGTGTGACTGAATGCTCTGACCTTCTGATTTTCTGAGATATTAACAAAAGATTGTCCAGGCCCAGCCTCAACTTTTTCTCTAGAGCATATTTTCCTGACAGTGAATCTCTAAATTTTAGCATATTTTGCAATGTGAATGGGCTGAGAATTTCCCAAGTCATCAAGTCCTGGTTTCTTTTTGTTTAACAGTTCATTCTTCAATTTGTCTCTTTCCTCTTGCATTTTACATAAGCAGCAAGAAGACATCAGGCTATACCTTTAACACTTTTCCTGAAGATCTCCTCAGCTAAATTTCCAGTTTCATCATTTATAAGTTGTGTTTTCCACATAACTGTAGGACAATTCTGCTAAGCTTTCTGCCACTGTGTAACAAGGATCATCTTCTCTCAAGTTTTCCAATAACATGTTTGTCACTTCCTTCTGAGCCTTCACTAGCAATGCCTTTAACATCCATATTTCTACCAATAGTCTGTTTACAATGATTTGGGTATTTTCTAAGGTAATTTGTGTTTTCTCTGCCATACTTTTCACTTCTTTCTGAGCCCTCAATAGTGAAAGCATGTATTAACATCTATATTTCTACTACATTGAAGGCAATGTAGGTTTTTTCTGTCAAACTTCTCAAAATTGTTGCAGCCTCTGCCAATTACCAATTCTAAAGCCACTTCCATGTTTTTAAGTATTTGTTATAGTAGTACCCCACTTCCAGATACCATCTGCTATATTCTTTTTCATTATATCATATCTTTGTGAATCTGGATTTAATCCATTTACATTTAAAATAATTACTGATGAGGAGAGACTTACTTCTGTCATTTTGTTGTTTGTTTTCTGTGTCTGTTGTAGCTTTCTTTGCCCCTCATTTCCTACATTGCCATCTTTTGTGTTTAGGTGATTTTTTTTATATATAGTGAAACATTTAAATTCCTTTCTCATTTCCTTTTGTGTATATTCTATAGCTGTTTTCTTTGTGGTTATCATGGGAATTACATTTAATATCTTTAAGTTATGACACTCTAATTTGGGTTTATACCACCTTAACTTCAATTCCTTACAAAAGTTCTGCTCCTTTAACAGCTGCATCACCATTCCTTTCAGTTGTTGATATCACAGAATTACATCTTTGTACATTGTGTGTCCAAAATCATAAACAAATAATTTGTAATGGATTAGCCTTTTAAATTATGTAGAAAACAAAATGTGGAGTTACAAACCAAAGTTACAATAATACTGGCTTGCAGACTTGTAACTTTTATCTTTTCTTTTCTTTTCTTTTCTTTTTTTTTTTTTTGAGATGTAATTTTGCTCTTGTTGCCTGGGCTGGAGTGCAATGGTGCCATCTTGGCTCACTACAACCTCCCCTTCCTGGTTCACGCTATTCTCCTGCCTCAGCCTCCCACATAGCTGGGATTACAGGCATGAGCCACTGCAACTGGCCCATTTTTTTCTTTTAAATGTATTCTCTTACATTATATAGAAAATAAAAAGTGGAGTTACAAACTTTAAGGATTCCTTGAATGTAATATGTTGTTTCTCTCTTGGTGTTTTTAAGATTCTCTGTCTTTGACTTTCATGGTTTGATTACAATGTGTCTGGGTCTGAGTCTCTCCGAGTTCGTCCTACTTGCAGTTAAGGTTGGATGTTTATATTCGTGTCTTTCATCAAATTTGGGAAGTTTTTGGCAATTACTTATTTAAATATTCTTTCTGTTCCTTTCTCTCTTCTCTTTCTGGGACTCTGCTAATGCATATGTTGGACCAGTTATGATGTCCTATGGGTCCCTTAGTTTTTGTTCACTTTTCTTCAATCTTTGTTCTTTCTGCTCTTAATACTTGATAATTTCCAATTTTTATCTTCAAGTTCACTGCTGCTTTTTTCTGTCTGATCAGATCTGCCTTTGAATTCCTGCAGTGGATTTTTTATTTCAGTTTTTAGACTTTTCAGCTTCAGACTTTCTTTTGGATTTCTTTTTAGGTTTGTTACCTCTTTGTTGATTTTCTATTTTGCTTATGCATTGTTTTCTTGACTTTCTACTCATCTTCATATAGTTTTTTGAGTATCTTTAAGACCATTTTAAAATCTTTGTCGAGTTGATCTATCAGTTCTTTTTCAGGGGTGATTTCTTTTTTTTCCTTTGAATGGGCCACCCTGTCTTGTTTGTTTGTATGCCTTGTAACTTTTTGTTGCAAACTGAACATTTGAATCTAATAATGTGGTAACTCTGGAAATAAAATTCTCCTTTCCTATGGTTTGCTGTTTGTTGTTATTGTTGTTGTTGTTGTTATTGTTGTAGGCTTTCTCTGTGCCAAGGAATAACCTGAGAAGTAAGTTTAAGGTCTTTTCACTTCTTTTTTTCAGCTTGCATTTTTTTTTCTGGGCATTCACAGTGGCTTTCTAATTTTCCCTATATGTGGAATTGCTTTTGAATGTCCTTGTCTTTATGTCTGGCTCACGAAAGGGGAAAATAGAGAAATAGAGGAGGAAAAAAAGATGCCAGGACTTTGAATCCTCTGGATGTCACTTCAACTGGAGGAGGAGAGGGTTGAAACAATGGAGGAGGTTCAACAACAATGGTCTCTTGCTTCTTGTTTTCACATCTGTGATCAAAAGCAGCGAGCAGTGATCAGATTTGCAATATTTGGAGGACAGTGTCCTTTTTGCTTACACTGGCTCCTACAAGTTGCTCTTAGAACACATGCAGAGTTGCTTCTATAGGGCTGGGAATGGGGAATGGGTAGCTATTACTGAGCTAAGAACTGAAATTGACCAAAATTAACCACAATTTACCATCCAAGCTTTCCCCTGGAAGTTGCAAACTTTCCAATAGACTCCAGAGTTTCAAAATAGTTACATCATGCAGCTTTTGCTACTGCAGTTGTTGTATATGTAAGGAGACAGCTTCCACATGCTTCTTATTCTGCCATCTTCCCATAAGCCCATCTAATCTTCTTCTTTTTAAAGTAGATTTTAAGTAGATTTTTAAGAGGAAATGAGGAATAGTTCTTCATCTGTGACTTGAGGGAAGGATACAGACATAGAGTAGGAACAGTAATAGGTTGAAGGGGAGTAAGAGTTTATAGGGGAGGTCATATATGATTATGTTAATCTTTTCTGTGTAGTGAGAATCTAATTTAATATGAGTAAGGTTGGAGATAAGAGTTTCTCTTAACAAGAGAAGAGCTCTGCAAAAACCTTGGGGAATGATCCAGGGGGCCTAGATATTTAAAATATTCTGAATTCTAAGTGTACAGTTTTCCAGTTGTGTATAGCTCTTCATTAAGTTGTAATCTCGGGTTATGGAATTAAATAGGAATTAGCAATTCGAAAGTTGGAAGTTTTTAAAAGTAAAATTCAGGTTTTGATTTTTACAAATTACATTTTCTGTTGACGCTGAGTCTTCTGTTGTTCCTTTGGGGAGAGAAATAAAAGAGAAAGACCAAGGGCTGGAACTCAGATACAGCCTCCAGTAACGGCTGTGTAGTAGAATGTTGGAGTGCTTGTTCATGGGCACCATAATGCTACTATGATCAGCATTTGGATGAAGAGGGACTATATAGACATACTAGAGTTAATATTTGATTGATTTATAATAGATAGGGTACAGTATTTGATCCTCTGATTTTTACCTTATTCTGAATTATCTACCTGTAGTCATCTGACAATCAAATAACTCCCCATCAACTTATTGATATTTAGCTCTATCCTGTCTCTGCAGTCATAGTCTCTAATGTCAGGTTACCCACACACTCCATGATTCAACAAGCCCTGAAAATTTGTGGAACTCTACTTTTTAGCACTTGTGACCCTTTCACCTTTTCAACCAAAGTGACTGTTCAGTGTTATGACTTTGTCATCTTGACACATAGCTTGCAAAGGCAATGGATTCCCATCTTGGTTTCTTAAAGTATAGATGTTCGAAAGTATGCCAGATACTCTAAATTATTGACGTCTGTTAAATGGGAGCTTTTCAAAGATCAAAGAATTGTTCAACAAGTGCTAAACTTTGACATACTTCTTGCATTTTCTTTCAGGTTAACAATAAATGCCCTTGCCCAGAAGCTCAATTCTTACTGGAAGGAAAAAACATCTCAATATAATTTTGAGACCTCAGCTGTAGCCAGGCCAATACCGTAAGTAATAGATATAGAATATGAATGTATTAGGGATAATATCCATAGATCAAATGGAAGGAACAAGGGTAATGTGTCCAGAGTTGGTTTCTGCTAGTGGATTCGTGGTCTCACTCACTTCAAGAATAAAGCTGCAAACCTTCCTGGTGAGTGTTACAGCTCTTAAAGATGGCACGGACCCAAAGAGTGAGTGGTAGCAAGGTTTATTGTGAACAGCGAAAGGACAAAGCTGCCACAGCTTGTAAGGGGACCCGAGTGGGTTGCCGCTGCTTGCTGGGGTGGCCAGCTTTTATTCCTTTATTGTTCCCTCCCATGTTCCGTTTCTGTCCTATCAGAGTGCCCTTTTTTCAATCCTCCCCACGATTGGCTACTTTTAGAATCCTGCTGATTGGTGCGTTTTACAGAGTGCTGATTGGTACGTTTTACAATCCTCTTGTAAGACAGGAAAGTTCCCTAAGTCCCCACTTGACCTAGGAAGTCCAGGTGGCCTCACCTCTCAGTAAGATGGTGCTTTTCACATCAGGAAGTTTAATTGATTAAAAATAGGAAGTCACAGGTACTAATTGCTTCATTCTCTAAACCTCTTCATTCTGCTTTAACACATTTATGGTCTGGATCATAAATGTGATGAGTTGAGTACTGTCAATTTAAAACTGGTAGTGTGATATAGTAGAACATTATGGCTATTTAAATCAAACATTCCTGGGTTGAAAATCTGGTTCTGCGTTTTAATAGTTGAGTGAGCTTGGGTAAGTAAGTTACTTCACCTGTCTGAATATATTAACTTAGGTGACATGCATTTTTAGCACAGTGACTGGCATATAGTAGGTGTTCAGACATGTTAGCAAACTTCCCTTTTTTTTTTTTAATTCCTAGTGAATATTGCTGGGACTATACCAGTACATGAGAGTAGAAATAGAGAACCCAGTATGTTAAAGAAAAGGTAGAATTTATTGACTCTAAGACAAGTCAGGTAAGGAGCATAATACAGAGGATCGAATGTGTAGCAACACATACACAGTCAGTTACACTACCATCAGGACAAACATTAGAGTGGTAGAAGTTCTTTTTGGAGTAGGTACCTGTTATTTTAATTATTAGGCAAATGTATGATATAAAATTTTATTTCAAATGCAACCTAATGGCTGTATTACCCTCTTATGTTTTTTAATTTTATTTTAAAATTTTATTTATTTTTAAATTATCTTTAAGTTCTAGGGTACATGTGCACAATGTGCAGGTTCGTTACATATGTGTACATGTGCCGTGTTGGTGTGCTGCACCCGTTAATTCATCATTTACATTAGATATATCTCCTAATGCTATCCCTCCCCCCTCCCCCCACTCCACAGCAGGCCCTGGTGTGATGTTCCCCTTCCTGTGTCCAAGTGATCTCATTGTTCAATTCCCACCTATGAGTGAGAACATGCGGTATTTGGCTTTTGGTCCTTGTGATAGTTTGCTGAGAGTGATGGTTTCCAGCTTCATCCATGTCCCTACAAAGGACATGAACTCATCCTTTTTTATGGCTGCATGGTATTCCATGGTGTATATGTGTCACATTTTCTTAATCCAGTCTATCATTGATGGACATTTGAGTTGGTTCCGAGTCTTTGCTATTGTGAATAGTGCCACAGTAAACATACGTGTGCATGTGTCTTTATAGCAGCATGATTTATAATCCTTTGGGTATATACCCAGTAATGGGATGGCTGGGTCAAATGGTATTTTTAGTTCTAGATCCTTGAGGAATTGTCACACTGTCTTCCACAATGGTTGAACTAGTTTACAGTCCCACCAACAGTGTGAAAGTGTTCCCATTTCTCCACATCCTCTCTAGCACCTGTTGTTTCCTGACTTTTTAATGATCGCCATTCTAACTGGTATGAGATGGTATCTCATTGTGGTTTTGATTTGCATTTCTCTGATGGCCAGTGATGATGAGCATTTTTTCATGTGTCTGTTGGCTGCATAAATGTCTTCTTTTGCGAAGTGTCTGTTCATATCCTTTGCCCATTTTTTGATGGGGTTGTTTTTTTTCTTGTAAATTTGTTTGAGTTCTTTGTAGATTCTGGATATTAGCCCTTTGTCAGATGAGTAGATTACGAAAATTTTCTCCCATTCTATAGGTTGCCTGTCCCTCTGATGGTAGTTTCTTTTGCTGTGCAGAAGCTCTTTAGTTCAATTAGATCCCATTTGTCAATTTTGACTTTTGTTGCAATTGCTTTTGGTATTTTAGACATGAAATCCTTGCCCATGCCTATGTCCTGAATGGTATTGCCTAGGTTTTCTTCTAAGGTTTTTATGGTTTTAGGTCTAACATTTAAGTCTTTAATCCATCTTGAATTGATTTTTGTGTAAGGTGTAAGGAAGGGATCCAGTTTCAGCTTTCTACATATGGCTAGCCAGTTTTCCCAGCACCATTTATTAAATAGGGAATCCTTTCTCCATTTATTGTTTTTGTCAGGTTTGTCAAAGATCAGATGGTTGTCAGCTCATGGCCATCCTCCATAGTTTTCAAAGAAGTACAAACTAAGATGAGATGCCATTTTTTGCCTTTCAAATTAGCAGTGATTAATGCAGTGAAACCAATGTTCACATACTGCTAGAGAGTGTGTGTGCTGGAAGCAGAACTGTAACAATGGTAATTATTGAACACTTACTTATATGTCAGGCACTGTTCTAAGTTCTTTACATGCAGTGATTTATTTAATCATCACAACAACCCTGTCTGTTAGATATTATTGTTACTTCTTTGTAGATGTAGAGACTGATACACCAAGAACTTTAGTAACTTGCTTTAGGTTAGACAAGCAGCAAGTGGTAGACCTAAGGTTCGAATATAGGTTCGAAATCAGGTCCCCCAAACCTAAGTTCTTAACTGCTGCTTTCTTCTGGAGGGATGCAATGAGGGGAATGTAGTACAGCCGCCTCAGCTACCTATTTCCTGAAAGCATGGGCTAAAAGCCTCTCCTATCTGCCTGGATTGAGGGATCTACCATGATCTGCATGGAACCTGAAACAGACGGTTGCTACCTCTAAGCGTGCCTATCCCTGAGAGAGTAATACTGGCACCCTGCAAGAGACTCTCCTGTGCATATGCATGTAGAACCAAAGCTAATATCATCTTTCTTCTCCCCTCCCACTACTGCTGAAGCTGCTTTTTACTGACTCTGGCTCTAAAACAGTGGCTGTCTAGAAATACATAGACACCAGAGGTCAGGCCTGAGCTTACAGCTTAGAGGTTGCAAGGCTGGAACAGCCTGGAGCTAGGAAATAGGAAGCTGTAGATCCAAAAATGTGCACAAACTTTCTTTGTTCAAACAGGGTTTTTAAAAAAAAGAGGGCATTGTATTTCAGTGGTAGAATTATGAGTGCCTTTTATTTTCTGTATATATTTCTCTATTTTCTAGCTTTTAATATTGAGCTTATATTACTTTTATATTTAGAAAAAAGCACATTTTAAAGCCGGGCACGGTGGCTCACACCTGTAATCCCAGCACTTTGGGAGGCCGAGGCAGGTGGATTGCTTCATCTCAGGAGTTCAAGACCAGCCTGGGCAACATGTTGAAACCCCATCTCTACCAAAAGTACAAACATTAGCTGGGTGTGGTGGCGCATGCCTGTAGTCCCACAGCTACCTGGGAGGCTGAGGTGGGAGGATTGCTTGAGCCCAGGAGGCAGAGGTTGTAGTGTACTGAAATTGTGCCACAGCACTCTAGCCTGGGAGACAGAGTGAGACCCTGTCTAAAAGGAAACAACAACAAGAAAAGTAAAAAGCACAATTTAAGATGTTAAGAAAATTATTGAACTAGACGTAAAAGAACCGCACCAGTCTGTTGAAATATCTAGTATGAGAGCAGTGTAAATATAACATGCATAAATTTCATCCTGGGCTAAATTACATGTTAGTGAAATTGGCTGAGGTGTCCCTCTTCTTGCTTTGTGTGTCTTTTCTCCAGCCTTCTTTGTTCTCACTCTAGCCTGTCTTTTATACCTTAGGTACTGAGTACTTCTGTCATTATAAGGGCCACTTTCTTTCTCAGAGAAACAAATTCACTCTAAAGTGTAGGTAACTGAGGGGAATGGGAGTGGGTATGCATTTTAAGAGTTGAACTCTGGAAGAGTTTTGTCTTAATTTAACCCCATTGTTGTCTGGAGCCACCATTTCTAGTTATGAAATTTAATCAGATTTATATTACTTTTTAACATTAACTTTGGGAATATCAACCTTGTAAAATTTTGATTGAAGTATTATAAGCAAAGGGTTTTTCTTGAGAGGGAAACAAAAAGGAATAAGGAGTCTCTGTAGGGAAATGGGGGAGATGTTTTAATGGCAATGCTTCTATGACTCCCATAAATGCATTTTAAGCCTGTTACGTGATTGCACAGAAGCAAACAAAATGATTCTATGTGTTTTGTTTCTTGGTAATATAGTAATAAACAGAATTTTTCCAAGTTAATAAATTTTAGAGTTAAAATTATCCTATTGTTTGCTTGGAACAAGTGCTACCAGGATAAAAATTATTTAAAAAATTTTGTTGCAATAGCTTTTGGGGTATAAGTGGTTTTTGGTTACGGGATAAATATTATTGACGTCCATAAAAGTAGCTCACCATGTTAATACTTGTAACTATTTTTCCTATCCATATTTGCTATAGTTCTATCATTTTATCTGTGAAGTTAAAAATATATACATTTGGGCACTGAGATGATAACATTCCCAACACATTTCATATATGAAATTAGGTTCTTTCTCTTTTAGACTGCACCTTTCTAATTTAAGACAAAGCACAGAGCTAAGATATACACAGTCACCCTTCCATTTTCCTTCATTCAGGAGGGTTCCTGACCAGACATGGGTTCAGTGTGATGAGTGTCTTAAATGGAGGAAGCTTCCTGGCAAGATTGATCCATCCATGTTACCTGCAAGATGGTTTTGTTATTATAATTCCCATCCAAAGTACAGGTAAGGTTCCAGGACTCAATCTTATGCTCGAGGTAACTCCTGATTTATCTCTATAGTCTAAAACATTTTTCATGTCAGGTTCACACCCTTCAGCCTGGCATTCAAGGCCCTGTTCTACCTGACCCCACCTTACCTATCTAGCCTTACATTTCGTGGTATCTTAACACAAACTTTGTACTTGAGCCAGACCTGTGGCTTCACTATTCCCTACACATGCCATGCTTACTCTCATGTCCGTGACTTTGATAGTGTCATTCCTCTTGCTTGCAATGACTTTCCGCATTCCATTTGTCTATCCTCATCACATCCATCTGGGGAGGAAGTGTTTTGTGTGATGCTTTTCCTGTTGACCATAGTTTACAGTTATTTTACTCTGCTTTCCTCTGGTATTTGATTCTTGACGTTTGTTCACATATTGTTTTGTACTTTTTGGATGTTTTTCACATATGTATCTTTGAAGAGCTTTGGCTCTTCAAGAGGTTATAAACTCTTTGAGACCAAGGACTTTCCATTCCAGGTCAAGTCGATGATGTTCTTTATATGCTTCGTATTTGGAATCAGTGTTCTACAGTAGTACCTGTACCTGTTGTATATTCAGTGTTGTTTGTGTGTTTGGCTTCCTAATATACCATATGTTCCTTGCAACATCCAACATCTAAATAGTGTCTGGCATATCTGTGGGCATTAACTTTAAAAGTTTTTAAAAATTTGACTCAGTAGTCATATAGGTTCATAATAATAAGTCAGTGTGCTTCAATTCAGCTGTGACTTTCTTGAAATTCTTCTTGCAGGATAAATACTGATAGAAAGGTTCTAAAATGGGTATGCGTTTTAGGGGAAAATGTCTAAAATTGAAGAAGTTGAATGAACAAAGATTAGGTCTATAAATACAAACATTTCCTCATAGTCTCTAGATATGCATAAGTATCTTTCCATGAGAGTAAATGAGATTGTGTAATTAGAATATGGAACTGAGTACTTAGAAGTCTCATTTGTGAATACTTTATCTTTTAGTACAGGAGACATAACCTTGCAGGCCACTTTGCCCTTTTATAAACTGGGTATAATATAGCTGCCAATTATTGTTAAATTTTGTTTGTTTCTAGGATTACTTTTGACCACTGAATGTATTTTCTAGTACTCCTTTCAGTTTTTACTCCTAAAATTCTCTTTCTCATGCTTTACATATAACAAGGTTTTACAATTTGAATGGGATCTGAACTCTATAATGTTAGAGAGTTGTTAACCTGCATAGTTGTAAGGAAATTAAAAGGTAAAAGTGAAGGACCCAGTTTTTTTCCAAAGCATGATTTCTTCTCTATACTGCAGGAGATGCTCTGTTCCAGAGGAACACGAACTCACTGACGAAGACCTGTGCTTGAGCAAAGCTAAGAAACAGTTGAGTATACATGAGATGGTATTCTCTATCATAGGGTAGAGTAGCCTGACACTTCCTTATAGGACAGGGGAGTTTTGAGAAGAGAGAATTATTTTTGGTTCTTAAATAATTTCCCTCTTCACCTCTCGGCTCTCCCAGTTCTTTATTCCTTCTAATCATCTCTTGAATGTCTCAACTAGTGATTGTATTTAGTCTTTCTCCTCTCTTTCTCTCTCTCTCTCTCTCTCTGGTGGGGCACTTAAAATCTCACTTCAGTAACCTAGTTCAGAAAGGCACCCTCAGTTACTCAATGAGGCTCACAGTATTTGTTATTTGGAAGGAATATTATAACCTAAATCTACAATTGGCAGTCCATTTCAAACTGAGAAGTTACATGAGTGAATTAAATAGCATTTTTGTCTTCTCCTAGAGAACAAACTGTTGAGGAGAAGAAGAAGATGCCTACGGAAAATGAGAACCACCAGGTGAGAGGCAGTGTACACCCTTATCGTTCTCACACAACATTTTCCCCAGCAGAGAATATAAGTTGAAGGAAGCAGCAATCTTGAAAGCTGCATAGAAATAACAAACAATTTCTTTTGGTGGTCTTTTTTCATTGAATCTTTTGGTTTTGCTTTGCTCTGCTGTCACTGATGTTTAGATCACCAGAAATAGAAGAGTCAAATCGTTTATCTTCCAGATTTGGATTCAGTACTGAATCTGGACAGTATGAATGTCACATTCAATGTCACAGAATATTCAGGGTTGTGTTCCATCCTCATACAGGCTTCTCCTGTTAAGTGTCTGCTTTTCCTGTCTCTTTTCTTCTAGGATTCAGGGGTGATCCCTTCCTCCTTCCTCTTGGGAAGAAGGGGTGGTTCTTTGTACTCCTCTCCGATCCCTGCTTTCAGGCTGGCTGGCTTTATAAAAACTCTGCTGTTTTGAATTTTCAGGAGCACTGTCTCTCGGACATGGTTGCCCAGCTCCGGACGCTGAAGGGTGCAATAAGGTTGGCCGTCCTTTCAGGGACACTCCTTTCCTGACAGCCACCATAGCACCCATATATCTTCCCCTCCCAACCGTGCCTTTCTGCATGATTTCCCTCTTGACCCTCTTTCCCAGAGAGATCTACTAGTCGCATGTTAGATTCACCTTCCACCCACTCAATCAGGGTAGGTCAGACTGGTGAGGATAGAGGCAATTTAATACTAACTCTTCTTCTGATATCCTGCCAAGACCCAGGCATATGAATAATCAGGTTTCATACCCTAATGCCTTGGTTTAATTGTCTGATGTAGAGATTGAGAGATTTCCTAGGACTGCCCTGTTCTCATTCAGTTTGCCTCCCGTATATTTTCCCTCACCTTAATCATTCATAGTATTTTCATGAGCTGGCTCTCCCACAAGATCCAGATGCATGTCTGTGTGTGTGTGTATACTATGAATATATGTTAGTCTGTCGCATGTATTTCTCCCAAACTGGCACAGACACTTGCTGCAGTGCATTTTCCCACCATCCCTACCCTCATCACACATCTCAGAGGAGTGAAAACTCAGCCTTAAACTGGGTCACAAGAGAGAATTAGACAGTGATTGGGGGCCTGGGTTTATACTGGGGATGGGATAATTCTAGGAGCCAGTAAGTAAGCTGGGGGAGGTCTGTTTGGTGTCCAGCTGATAAGGTTGATAACTGAATACGCCTGGGTTCAGTGTTCTAGTGTACATTACTGTGCACTGTTTGTTTTGTGTAGGAAATGATTTCTTTTTATTTGGCCAAGCATTCTTTCCTAGCATCAAAAGGATTGACTCATCCTTTGACATTTGGTTTGAATTTGAGACTTTTACAAATCATTTCTGTCTTTTCTAGGTATTCAGTAATCCACCAAAGATCCTTACTATTCAAGAAATGGCTGGATTGAATAACAAGACAATTGGATATGAGGGAATTCATAGCCCTAGTGTGCTTCCATCTGGTGGAGAAGAAAGCAGATCACCTTCTCTTCAACTTAAGCCTCTGGATTCCAGTGTTTTTCAGTTTTCCAGGTGACTAAAAAGCATGATCTCTTGTCAATAGTAAGCTTTAGGGTCTGTTTTCCTATAGAGTAAGTTGGTATGTTTTACCTTGTTTCTATTTTTTCTAAGGCCTAGCATGGAATTTAGAAGTAGAAACACAATTTTAAGTTGATAGAATTGTGTGTTGCATGTACCTCCAGTTTTTCAGTATTATAACTGCTGTATCAGGTCTGTAATTTTGAGGTGATCATTTGCTGATGCTCTTTTTATGTATCATGTATTCACATTATATTGGGAATTGTGAAATAATAGGCAAAATTTGAAAAGTGTAAAATACTACACAAATAAGGTAATGTTATTTCGATAAGCTTTGTTCCTTTTCTTCAGTGTATGGATATTGAAGTTCTCTGGGGCCTCATAGGCCTAGCACGTGTTGGCCACATATAAAAATAACTATTATATATTTGTGCCATTAGGTAAGCTTTATCATCTGTTGTTTCCTATAATAAATTATTAGTATAAGTTTAGCATTGGACTTTACTTGTTCACCTTCTAGCACCTCATCAGTGTTATTTTGTGTCTTCATAACAAGAAGGAGCATAACTGTTCTTTTTCTTACATATCAGAAGTATTTAAAGCATTGAAGGATCTGACTGCCCATTTACTGCCATGGGACTGAACTTAGTACTCCTAATTATGACTCTTTGCTTTCTCCTCTCTATTCTGCTTCTCACTCTTATAGGGTCAAGCCATATAGGGCAGGGACAGGGTTGCTCTCTAATAGTAGAAATGTCTATGTTCATCAGTAATATGACTATTATATAGTGGGATGTGAATTATTATTATTTTTTTTTGAGACGGAGTTTCACTCTTGTTGCCCAGGCTGGAGTGCAATGGCACAATATTGGCTCACCACAACCTCCCCCTCCCGGGTTCAAGCGATTCTCCTGCTTCAGCCTTCCGAGTAGCTAGGATTACAGGCATGTGCCACCATGCCTGGCTAATTTTGTATTTTTAGTAGAGACGGGGTTTCTCCATGTTGGTCAGGCTGGTCTTGAACTCCCGACCTCAGGTGATCCACCCACCTCAGCCTCCCAAAGTGCCAGGATTACAGGAGTGAGCCACCATGCCCAGTCGGGATGTGAACTTTTTAGTGACTATTTTCAGTTTGGATATCTTCTTAACATATTGTAGAATAGTCAGTGGAATACATAATAGGATAAAGTGACTCCTGGTTGGTGGTTTCTTTTTCTCTGTGTTTCTGAGTTCGAGACCAGCCTGGACGACACAGCAAAATCTCATCTCTTAAAAAAAAAAAAAAATGCACAATAGAACAGTGCCTTGGAATATAGTAGGTACTCAATAAGTAATGGTTGAATCTGAGTCATATTTAAGAAGCAGTTTCTAAGATTGAATTTTATAGCAATGGGATAAGAAATAGAATCCAACCTTAGTCTCAGGAGCTTGAGCCTAATTATACCATTTCCATGCATACTTTTCCAACTCCCATTTTAGGTTGGGAGGGGTGTACTGTAAATGCTAAGTGTTTTTGAAGCACATTGTTACCTTTTTACCCTGGGCTCCTGGAGATGCTCATATATCACCATTGCTGCTGGAGTGTCAGGTGTCTTTGCTTTTGAAGACTATCCTTTCCCTACTGTGACCACTTTTCCTTTTTTTCCAGTGTTTCTTTTGTAACTCTGTAGTGGTTTTCGGTAACCTCAAGGGGATTACAAATGCTAATTTATATACTTATTTTATGAATGCAGTACAATAGAACTTCCATTGGGTGGCATACTTCATCAGTCTCTGTTGGAATTTTTATATGAGTCTTTATAGATTGCTATATCGAGAGTGAGGTTTTGGCTGTAGAGGACAGGTAAAGTACATTGACCATTCATGTGTAATTTTTATTTATTGAGAATAAAATTATTTTAAGAGAAAGAGATACATAAGAGGTATGTGATAGTTGCTGTTGCTAATGTCAAATATGTTACATAAGATCAGTAAATGATGATTGTGTCATTTCAGGTTACCCTTTTTGAGGGAATCACATTGATTGGGCTGAGACTACCTTTTTATGGGAGAAAATGGAGTTAAGAGTCTAGTAAAATATATAGGATTTCTGATAAAACATTAAGGTTTAATCAAGAGTTACAAAGGTCTTCTGTTATTATCAGCATACGAAGCTGATAAGGGTCCTTGGGTCATGTAGTTCAGCTTACTAACTCTAGATAAAATAAAGCCTACAGTATCCAAGAAAACACATTTAAGTTCTAGTGGGGTAGTTTAGCAGGAGCTCCACAGGTGTCACTGGAAACAGCTCTGTGAGTCCCACAAATCTAGCAAGGGAAGGAGAGGACCTGCAATAAAGAATAGGTTCCACCAGGCCGGGCGCGGTGGCTCAAGCCTGTAATCCCAGCACTTTGGGAGGTCAAGACGGGCGGATCGTGAGGTCAGGAGATTGAGACCATTCTGGCTAACACGGTGAAACCCCGTCTTTACTAAAAAAAATACAAAAACTAGCTGGGCGAGGTGGCGGACGCCTGTAGTCCCAGCTACTCGGGAGGCTGAGGCAGGAGAATGGCATAAACCCAGGAGGCAGAGCTTGCAGTGAGCTGAGATCCGGCCACTGCACTCCAGCCTGGGTGACAGAGCGAGACTCCATCTCAAAAAAAAAAAAAAAAAAAAAAAAGAATAGGTTCCACCAGTATGTAAGCAGGTATAACCTTTTAGGGGAAGACAGCTTATTTCTGTTAAAGGAAATAATCCCTTTCTATTTGTTCATTCTACGTGTATAATCACACCACATAATGACATCTTGTTCAGTAACAAGATGTCACATACACAACAGTTATCCCATAAACTTTCAATACTGTATTTTTACTGTACCTTTTGTATATTTAGATATATTTGATATGCAAATACCATTTTGTTACATTGCCTATAGTATTCACTACAGTCACAGGTTTATAGCCTAGGAGCAATAGGCGATTGCCTAGGTATGTAGTAGGCTATGCCATCTGGGTTTGTGTAAGGACTATGATGTTTGCACAATGAGAAAATTGTCTAACAATGGATTTCTCAGAGCATATGCCCATCAATAAGTAATGCACGACTGTATTTGAGTGCCTATTTTATGAAAGGCCCTGTTCTAGGGTAGTGATAAGGTCAAAGTTTGATATGTAAGGTATCCCCAATATTTACATATAAAATGCATAAGTTTTCTTTCTTTCTTTCTTTTTTTTGACAGTCTCGCTCTGTCGCCCAGGCTGGAGTGCAGTGGTGCAATCTTGGCTCACTGCAACCTCCGCCTCCTGGGTTCAAGCGATTCTCCTGCCTAAGCCTCCTGAGTAGCTGGGATTACAGGTGCGTGCCACCATGCCTGGCTAATTTTTGTATTTTTAGAAGAGACGGAGTTTCACCATGTTGGTCAGGCTGGTCTCAAACTCCTGACCTTGTGATGTGCCCGCCTTGGCCTCCCAAAGTGCTGGGGTTACAGGCATGAGCCACTGCACCCGGCCAAATACATATAGTTCTCTTATGGGTGATACAAAATAAGATTTAAAGTGGCTGGGCGCAGTAGCTCACACCTCTTATACCAGCACTTGGGAGGCCAAGACAGGAGGGTTGCTTGAGCCCAGGAGTTTGAGACCAGCCTGGGCAACACAGTGAGATCTCTTCTCTACAAATAATAAAAAACATAGCTGGGTGTGGTGACGTGTGCCTGTGGTCCCAGCTACTCTGGAGGCTGAGGTGGGAGAATCACTTGAGCGTAGGCTGCAGTGAGCCAGCTGTGATTGTGCCACTGCACTCCAGTCTGGGCAACAGAGCAAGACCCTGTCTCAAAAAAAAAAAAAAGAAAGATCTAAAGTTACCGTAAGCATTTGAATGAAGGGAAGAATTAGTGACTGTAATTTATTTAGATATTTAGATTTGAGTAAGCTATATGTCAAAGGCTAATTAGTTCATATTTTTAAAGGTTAACAAGAAATTCTGAATTGCACTGTAATGGTGGAGGGAGAGAAGTAGAGACATTCTAATGTGTCTAAAGGAATACTTGAAATAACAAACAAGGGGTAGAAATAGAAGAACAATTTTGCAAATGAATAAGATTGATTCAGGGGCCAGTATTAACATTTAAAAATATTATCTGGGGAAACAACTTCCAGAATGGAGAAATGAGCATAGTGGACTCTCTCACCAACAAATAACTGTTTAACTTGTAAAAAGAATTAAATGGATATTCTGAAGGTGCAAAGTATAATAACTGATATGAAAAAAGGGACTAAAGAGCACATTACAGTTGGAAGGATAAAGAATAAAAAAAACTTGAAGATAGATCTGTTATAGATCATGAAATTTGAAGAACAGTGGAAAAGAAAAATGAACAGAGCTTCAGAGAAATGTAGAACGCCATGAAATGCACTAACATATGCATAATAGGAGTGCAAGAAGAATAGAAAATGAAGTAGAAAAAATATTTCAAGAAATCATGGCTAAAATCTTCCCAAAGTTGATGAAAAACATTAATGTATACATCTAAGAAGCTCAGCAAACTCAAAATAGGATAAATACAGAGATTCATAGCCAGACACATCATAGTGCAAATATTGAAAGCCAAAAGCAAAGAGAAAATGATTCATCATGTAGAAGAGAACCCCAAGATTAAAGTTGATGACTTCTCGTGAGAAAAAAATGGGAACAAGAAGGCAGCGTGATGACATATTCAAAGTACTGAATGAAAGACTGTCAACCAAGTATCTTAAATACAATAAAATTATCTTTAGGAAATAAAAGTGAACTAAATACATTGCTAGATAAACAAAAGCCGAAGGAATTTGTTGCCAGCAGACCTGCCTTACAAGAAATACTAGAGAGAGTTTTTTAGGATGAAAGCAAGCAATATCAGACAGTAATCTGAATTCACATGAAAAAGCAAAGAGTGCTTGTAAAAGTAATTGTGTGGTTAATTATAAAGCACAATACAATAGCATATTTCTTCCTCTTTCTATTCTTAACCGATTTAA